TTTTTGGCTCCAATGTGCATCACCTTGCACTTGGCCACATTGAACCCCATTTGCCATGTTGACACCCACTTGCCCATCCTTTCCCCCCAAAATTTTTTTTATTAGGATATAATAAAAAAGAAAAGTTCAAACATATGTATCAAAACTTATACAATTATATATCCTTCCCTCCCCCCCTTCTCAGCTTCCCACAGTGCTCCATCCTCCTGCTCAATTCTTAAATTTTCTTCATACCTTCTTATCTCCTTATTCATATCCATAGGTAACTTAATCTTCAACTGTTAGTCTTATATATTTATCTATTTTCTACTATTTTGATTTTCAAACCCACTTGCCCATCCTTGACAAATCCCTTTGGAGTGCCTCACAATCCTCCCTGGTTTTCACCACCCTGAACAACTTCGTATCATCCGCAAATATAGCCACTTCACTGCTTACTCCCAACTCCAAATCATTAATGAACAAGTTAAAAAGCAGTGGACCAAGTACTGATCCCTGCGGTACCCCACTGCTTACCACCCTCCACTGAGAAAACTGCCCATTTATACTCACTGTTTTCTATGAATTAGCCAGTTTTTGATCCATAAAAGGACTTGTCAAAAATCCCATGATTTTTTAGCTTACTTAGGAGCCTTTGATTTGGAACTTTATCAAAAGCTTTCTGGAAGTCAAGGTAAACAATATCTATTGGATCCCCCTTGTCCACATGTTTGTTCACCCCCTCAAAGAACATTAACAGGTTAGTGAGACAAGATCTTCCCTTACAGAACCCATGTTGAGTCTGCCTCAATAGGTTTTGTTCATCTATGTGCCTACTAATTCTTTCCTTAATAATGGTTTCCACCAATTTACCCGGTATCGACGTCAGACTGACAGGCCTGTAATTTCCCGGATCTCCTCTGGAACCCTTTTTAAAGATGGGAGTGACATTAGCTACCTTCCAATCCTCAGGAATGGAGGCAGATTTTAAGGAAAGATTACATATCTTTGTCAGGAGATCCACAAGTTCACAATTGAGTTCTTTCAGAACTCTCGGATGTATGCCATCTGGGCCTGGTGATTTATCAGTTTTTAAGTTGTCTATCAGTTTTAGGACCTCCTCTCTCGTCACCTCAATCTGACTCAGGTCTTCCAACACCCCTCCTGAAATCAGTGGTTCTGGAGTGGGCAAGCACTTCTCATCTTCCACAGTGAAGACGGAGGCAAAAAATGCATTTAGCTTCTCAGCCATTTCCCTATCATCCTTCAATACTCCTTTTACCCCTTGGTCGTCCAAGGGCCCCACTGCCTCCCTGGCTGGTTACCATGCAGGCTTTTTCCTATACCTGTTTGTGCCTTTCCTAACCTGCGGAATATATGCAGGTGTGATGGAGTGCACTTCTTAAAGGCTTCAAAGTGCTGCACACAACAGGGTAAAGGACTGTGAAGGGTTAATTCTTCACAAAGACAGAGAACCTTGAGTGACAGGTTGCTCCAAGCAATCTGATTAGTTAGTGTTAGATGAGCAGAGAAAGTCTTGAGAGAGCTGTATGCTGAGGAGAGATTCAGTCAGATTTCTACCTTGACTGAATTCAGTCTGATTTCAGACCTAGCTGAGAAGAGTTGAGTACTGTCAGTTTCAAAATTCAGCCCTGATTGAGAGCAGTTTTAACACAGACAGGAGAACTGGGGAAAGTTGGTAAGGACGAGTGGGTAGTTAGCAGTGTTCCCTCTAAGCTGAGTTAGTCTGAGCTAGCTCACAGTTTTTTAGCCTCCGGCTCACAGTTTTTGTAGCCTTCAGCTTACATATTTTTGTCTTAGCTCGGGAAGGATGGCTCCAGAGCAAACTAATTTATGCAGCAGCCAAATCGCTCGCTCACAACTTTAATGCCAGTAGCTCACAAAGTAGAATTTTTGCTCACAAGACTGCACAGCTTAGAGGGAGCATTGGTAATTAGACAGACACTCCCATTTGGGCCAAGGAAAGATCTTCTAGAAGAGAAGAATTTCTCTACCCAGTCAAACAGGGAGTTAAGCTCAAGAGTGCAGAGATCGCTGGTCTGTTGTTGTTAGAAACTGTACCTTAAGAGTCAGTTAAAAACTCAAGACAAGTACTGGTGTTATAAGAGAAGGGGTGTGGGTACTGGAAAGAGGGTAGCAGTCTTCTGCAAACCAAAAAAATGAGAGAATACTCAAAGAAAGTATACTGAAGTGTTGGGGAACAAAACTGGAACAAAAGCTTCTCAACATAAAGATTTAAGTCACTGTGAAAAGCTTAAGAAACTCTCATTAGCCTGAACCGTAATGTCTGTGCATGTACTGGTTTTACCTCAGAAATGTCAACACCTGACCTTTCCCCTCTATGTTAAATAATCTGTTATTTTTGAATTTCAAAACCCCTCAAATGCCATTTAAGTTGTTTACGTTAAAGCAGGTTCCTGACCCTTCCCTGCTGTGACTGAGCAGTCATTGGTAGCATGTAAATAATAGAGGGGTTTTTTTGAAAGAATTTCTGTCCCACAGAATATAATCTGGCTTTTAACTCAGCCAAAGGAACTTGTGGAAAAGTAGGAGCCCTCTTTTTGTTGTTAAAGGCTTTCACGGCCGGAGTTCCTTAGTTGTTGTAGATCTTCCGGGCTGCATGGGCAAGGTCTTGGCATTGTAGGACCTGACGTTTCGCCAGCAGCATCCTCAGAAGTAGCTGTGACTGGCATCCTCAGAGGTATAACACAGAAACACAGAGAGTACTCTCCATCTTTCCGAGGATGCCAGTCACAGCTGCTGTTGAAATGTCAGGTCGAAACAGATGCCAAAACCACAGCCATACAGCCCGGAAAATCTACAACAACTAGTGAACATTAAGTTCAGGAGTGAACATTAAGTTCATGCTCTCAGGTGCCCTATTCTACTACGCATGGAATCTCACAGGTATCCACACCTATCTATGCATACAGTCCCTGCATAAACCTTTCTTGTGATGAATGGATCACAAGAACATCCTCATAATCAACCACACACAGAGGTAACATGCCATGGCGGTTTATGAACCCAAAAACAGTTGTTAGCTCTATTAATCCAAATGCTAAAATGCCTTTGAGATTTCATCATATAACCTGACAACTGCTACTAATTTATATAAAGCTTGTTTAAATATCTAAAAGTAGTACCTTTATAAAGAACACACATACAAAAAACACATTAAACTGCCTTATATGGAATCAGACCACTGGTCCATTAAGGGTTAGTACTGCTGAGACTGGAGGTGGCTCTCCAGGATCTCAAGTAGAGGTCTTTCACATCACCTACTATTAGACTGAAAGGATTGAACCCTGGACCTTCTGTATGCCAAGCAAGTGCTCTACAACTGAGCCACAGTTCCTCCTTCAGGAAAACATCTGAGCATTATAAGTAACTACAAACACATTTATTTGTTTGTAATATCTTTTAATACTTTTCACTTTTAAATACTGGTTTTTAAATTTGTGATTGTACCATGGAAGAGCCAACTTCATTTAGTCTTTAAAAGTTAACAGGATCATAAAGCTATCATAGAACAGTCACACTCTACACACTCAATGTACTCTAATATGATTCATATTTTGAGTATGTAGATGAACAGTGGCAACTCAAATACAACTTCATCTATACAACAGTTGACAAAAAGATCTGTGGAAGTTTGACTTGACATTTGATTAAGGAGAACCAGTACAACTTCTGATGACCAGCTCAGCTCAGTAAAATAACAGGTAACTTCTTTCAAAGCTGAAAGAGCATCCTTATTCAAAGAAACATATAATTTAGACTGAAAATCTCCACATCATTAAAATAATTTCTTAAAAAATCAGGTAGAATTGAACAGCCCTTGTTTCCTAAACTTCTCCTTCCCACAACTGAACAACAGGAATAAAGTCCAGCACTTGATGGAAGTCATTTGAGGTGGTAACAGGTTTAGGTTTTCAAGGCAACAGATGCTGAGAAGACAGTCACCTTTGGAGAAGGCTTTTGTAATGAGGTGATCTGAGGTGGTTGTCTCAGGTGGAAAATTTTGGGGATCAGCCATCTGCCATTGCACTTTCAACCAGCCGCACATCTGCCACCCTGACCTGAAAGAGATTACTTGCTTCCCCAGACCTCTGTAAAAATAGTGTGGCAAGCAGTGCACACTAGTTCCAGAACACTCACAATAATCTTCCTTCTGAGAGAATGTGGCCATTATTTCTAGTTGTCTGTTGCCAGCGAAGGGGAGTAATCTTACAAGAGTTCAGGGCATGTGGAGCTATTTTTAAAGAGATATAAAAACAGGCACTTTGCTACAATTTTTAGAGAGGGTTAGGGCAATGAAGAGGTAAATATGATTTATTTTCTGGGGTGGCAACAGTGAGGCAGGCAGGTAGTGGCAGAGAGGGGGGAGCTACTGTCATGGCTGCCTCAGGCAGTGAAAGACTTTCAAGTTGCCACTGCTGTGCATCCACTGATTTAGTTCACAGAACATAATTGCAAACACAGCACTAGAACCTCAGTCATTTCCAAAGGCAAAAAAAGAGAGGACATTAGTAACTCAAATTCTTATTCTGCTAGACAGGGAATGACCAAGTTAAGAAAGCCAATGAAAAGGTGGGGAAGAAGAGTTCTGTTCTAGAAAAAAGGGCACAACATTACCTGGCGCATATTGAACCAAGCTGTCAGCTTGGGGTGGTGGTGGTCTTTATGCTAGGTTCTAGCTCTTGTCATATACTGAAGCTTTTGAAGATTGATTGGGCAGGAGTAGTTCAAGGAAAGTGACACCACTTGTCTAAAGTAAAATGTATTCTTTACAAATAGTCTCTTTAGTGTAACTTTTATTTACAGAATTGCAAAATACATCACATTTAGTGCAAATGCAACTAATGATATTAAGATTTATGTATATGTGTGTATATATATATACATACATACATATATATACACACACACACACCACTTTGTAAACTTTCCATATCTTTGTAAAATAAAGCTATCCAATTAAATTAAAATTTCTTGTGTGTGTTCATGATAGTTACCAGAAATATTAAATTGTTCAGTCTGCATTTAGGGTCTAAACATTTTTTGTTGTTGAAGTTCCCATCAGTGGCTATGGTGAATGAACAAGGTTTTTGTTTCTAAACCAGTTGATTGTAAAAGAAAAACACATCTGAGGTATAACAAACTTTATATAAAATGCTTACTGGTGAGATAGTAAAGAGTTCTAATTTTTCATCTCATTTGCCTTACCAGCATTATCCCATAGGCACTTCTCTACATTTTCAAATCATAAACAGTTATTCTGTAATAAGGCATATTCCATGCACATCATTTAGAGAAAGGCAAATAAAGGAGATTTAAAAGCATGACATCTGTGTGCATGTATGTAAAAGTCAAGTGTTGTGCATACCGTGGTGTACTAGAGACACCCCAACCATTCCCAAGAAATTTGATTCTGCAGTTTGCCTGATCTCAAAGATTGTAATCTGCTGCATCTTCAATAAAAGTACTATCTTTGTTTTCAGGCATCAGCTGCTCTATATGAAATAAGACTTTAAGCTTTCTTTTCAAAAATATATCAAATCTTGTCCCTCTTATAATATATATACACAAGCTGATGAAATAGCTAAAAAAATTGTCAATAATCTCCATTTAAAAGTATAACAGCCAAATGAGGAGTTTTCCTCAACAAATTACCACTTTTATTCTCACAGTTCACCCCTCATGTTATTTCCTGGTATTAGAGACAGGTGGATATTTGAAAATTAAGTTCTTTCACAGCAACTAAGGGGAACTTTGCATTTAAGATGTATGGTTTTATATTCACAACTCTTATAGTTCAGATTGTTGGGGCAAATATTACATGTGTGAATGGTTTCATATGTGAGCTTCATCGCACAGCTTTATTCAACAGAGAAAAAAACATGCAGGGTAAGAAAAAACCATATTTACTCTCTAAGGCTGGGAATGTTATCTTGCGGAGTCCAATTTGCTTCAAATAAATATTACATTGCAACTCCTTGCAGCTTCAGGAACACCTGAAAGCAGCCCATGCTGCATGAAGATGGGCAAGTCATTGCGGTAGATTTTTCTGGCAGTCATGCCCTCTTATGCAGCATTTATTTAGAAATTTCTGGATCATGATCAACAACCAAATTTCTTCAGCACATATTACACAACTAAAAAATACAATAGAAATATAAAGGTATCTGGAAAAAAAATAAAGCTTTTCACACTTTCTCCATCAGAACCAGAGGTCTTCATAGGAGCAAGACTATAGAAAAGGCAAAGTCAAAAGGATCTTGACAGCCCTCACATTATTAAGAGATGCTTTACATAATAAGATGATTTTTATCACAGAAATCAGCAGCAATGAACTATGATTATACAAAGCAAAAACACAAAACCCTTCTGGAAGGACACTGAGTTTACTGTTAACCTGAAAAAAGTTACAACACACAGGTTTTTGTGCATATAAAGCACATACAGTATGCTATATGTGCATTGTCCTTTGTGCTTTTTAGACATACACAAAAACAAGAGCTGTGCAAGTATCTTATAAAGTTCCACAGTAAACAAAAGCTTTCAAATTATTCAAAAGTTAAAGCAATAAACCAAGTTGGTGACCCAAAGTTGTATTTTTCTCCTCTAAAGCAAGCAAAAAAAAAAAAAGTAGAGCCATATACATGTATCAACACAGGTATTTATAACTGCACACTGATTCAGCAAGGTGAGCTAGCAGAAGAAAGAGAAAGTTCAGCTTCATGGCGTTGCAGTATTTCTTCCGTTGAGTACAGAATCGAGGGTTTGGGCCATAAGACTGTAGATCCTACGTTCCAGCTTGGAGCATTCATTTTGGTTCATTTCTCCAACGTGGAATGTTCACACAGCCTTCTTCCAATCACTAGGAAAAATTGTGGAGGGAAAGCTTCAGGCCTGACCATAAACTAGGGCACTGCACGAAGTTATGAGGCTCTCTAGCAAGTGCCAAATTATGAGGCTCTGCTGGCCAGCAAATCTTCACCAATAGACTGTGTTGGTTTGCAGAAAGATCTACAAAAACATGTTTTTCTCCCTAACCTTATGCTACTAATGCCCTAGTTACAGGACCAAGCCACTAGAATACCCTACAGGCCAGACCTTTAAACTTGCATTAAGAAAACCTGCCAAAGATCAAAGTATACCAAATATATTCCAAAGCAGATCATTTCAGAATTAGCCCTTCAATAACATTTTACAGCATTTCAATGGCCTATCAAGAAAGCCACAATACCATTTCCCAAACCCCACCCTTCCCTTAAAAGCCTCCTTATATCCAACTATAGAAAGCCCACAAACAGCCTATTCTAGCTTTTTAAAGTCAAGTATAGTGGCCCTGCTGTAAAAACTTTTACCTCAGGGGGGATAGTCAAACCCTTACCACATAAACCCAGTGAAGACCAGATTACTGGTCAAATGAGATTTTGGGCTCCATCAACAGAGGCATACTATCCAGATCATGCAAACTGATGGTATTATTTTGCTCTGGCTGGGCCTCATTTGCAGTACTGTGTTCAGTTTTGGGCACCACAGTTTAAGAAAGATGTTGATAAACTGGAACATGCCCAGAAGAGGGCAACAAAGATGGTGAGGGATCTGGAGTCCGTCCTATGAGGAAAGACTGAAGGAGCTGGGTTTGTTTAGCCAGGAGAGGAGATGACTGAGAAGCAATATGATAGCCATCTTCAAGTATTTGAAGGGCTGTCATCTAGAGAACCGAGTAGAGTTGTTTTCTGTTGCTCCTGAAGGTTAGACCAAAACCAACCGGTTGAAATTAAATCAAAGAGTTTTCAGCTAAACATCAGGAACTTCCTGACAGAGTGGTTCCTCAGTGGAGCAGGCTTCCTCAGGAGGTGATGGGCTCTCCTTCAGAGGTTTTTAAAGCAGAGACTAGATGGCCATCTGACAGCAATGCTGATGCTATGACTCACTATGAATTTAGGTAGATTGTGAGAGGGAGGGCAGGAAGGGATGAGCCAATGCTCAATTCTTATATGCCCAGGATAAAGATGATCACCATTTTAGGGTCAGGAAGGAATCTTCATCCAGGTCAGACTGACTCAGGGATGCTGGAGGGTTTTTTTGGCCTTCCTCTGGGCATAGAACAAGGGTCATAGGGGGAGTGGGGGTGGCAAGGGATTGGACTAGATGGCCCTTGGGGGTCCTTTCCAGCTCTATGTTTCTACTGGTTAAGAGTTTCATAGATTTTATTCACAAGAAAAAGAATCTTAACACCAGACCTATTCCTACTCTAAATACTGCATCCATCCTCCATCTTTATTCCCCCCGCCTCAACTCTTCTTTCAAATGCCTACTCCCATTGCCTTGCCAACATTTCACCCCCCAGTAGACTCCCCCTTTCTTTATCCTCCGTCCTCCAAGCAATTCCCCCTCCTTCCATCCAGTCATACCCGAGAACGTAGTTTATTACACAAGATTTAAGTAGCACTTTATTTCCAAACCCAGCACACTTTCATTACACTATGTCTGTCTCCACTGGACTCAAAATTGTATGTGATAAGATTTGTGCATGAAGGATTACATACCTACCTGCTAACACTAAAACAATATAGGCTTCCCAGCTGTTTTCTCTTGCACATATGATGTGAAACGCTTCAAGAATTTGGGGTACTCTCGTTTTGCTACTGCCCGTAGTACAGAAGCTGGTGCCCAACCCCCAGGATTCACTAAAATAAAGATCAGAGTCAAAATAGTAGTTTTAAGGAGGGAAATTCTTATATTTAAAAGCATGGCTAGAACAGAACACAGTTTCTTCAGTTAAGCCAAATGATGCTGTTAAGACTGGTTCCTTCACACCTTCCCAGAAGAAAATCACCTGTCAGTTTGCCTTGGTCTTCAGGATAATTAGATTTTAACTTTTTAGCCCCAGATTCCTATAGCAAGGTTGAAAACAGCAGCATAATAGTCTACCTTAATTCCAAATATTTTAGCAAGGAAGACCTATCCACAAAAACACATATTAATCAGTAAACAGGATATAATAAAAGTGGCCATTTTTTTCAGGAATGGAAACCTTTGTTTTACTCGAGACACGAAACACTAACAGTTTAATGATACTGTAGACTCAAATGTTGCTTCTTTCATAAGACTCGCTGTACAACCTTAGGCAAAACATATTCACTTTCACCCCACCTGCAAAATGGGAGTAATAGTTCAACAAATCTGTGAGATGGATAAGGCCAAGCAGAGACTATTAGGTATTCATGCCATCAAGCATTACATCTTTTAGTAAGCTGTAATTTATAAGTTTACTCTTTTTTGTTTTACCTTTGATATAAAATATTATTTCTTAAGAAATTTTGTTCTACGCAATATAGCCTGGCTCATCTATATATCTAATAGCCAACTTGCCCCCTCCGTGCGGATCGCTAAATCAGCACGGAGGGGGCAGGTGGGGGGGAGGGGGAGGTTTGTGCACACGTGGGCCAGTCCCCACGTGTGCACAAAAATGCAAAAAGTTAAAAAAAATTTCGGGGGGATGTTTAAATCCCCCCGAAAGTGCAAGAGCGTCTCCTGCGCATGCGCAGGAGACGCTCTGCAACGCCGACGCCGCCTCGGAGCCAGCCGGCGGGCTGGCAGGCGGCG